TTTCTGCTAAATTTATGTATGTTTTTTTGGAATTAAACAAATGTATTTTGATTTTCGCTCATATGTGTCGTTTTAGTTTGCTCTTTTAACCTTGAACCACTTTGAGAACACTGAGTTCATATCATAGACTGCGTGTTCATGCTCATTGTTAATCACCATTAATGAATCAAACATTCAAGCTGGTTTATCCAACATCTGCTATCTATCCAACCTTCGGTGTATATCTCATCCGATAGAGCAGCTATGTCTTCGGGAGAAACGCCATTGCCTACACCATACAGCATTCATGAATTCTCTACATATCCACAACCGTGTGCCACAACTTAATATCTAGTGATTTACTCCTACGAGACCTTGGAATGCATACATAAAGGTTGTATGGTATGACCTTTAAATCACCAGCAGTGGACATCGTTGCATACTATCAAGCTTCTTTATTGCTTTGACAGAGAGCTTTTCTCCTATATTCACGCTACGCATGCCATGCATGGAAGGAATACTGCTTTATATAATACCCTCAAAGCCTACTGACTAATGACCTATCGGGCCAAGAACATGTCTCTCATTCTTAAGTACATCCCAGTGGGCTTTTCTAAAAGTGCGACTATTTACTCTCAGTAGTTCCGTTCATAGTATGCATATGCTACCAGTTTGACATGAAGTTCCAATTTCATCTCAAATTCAACCCTTATTGCAACTTTTCAGAGTTTAGGCACCAATTTTGATCCCTGGAGGCACCCTTTAGTGAGTGTCTTTACCAAAGTTTGACCATCTAGGATTAACTTTACCATTCTGCCAACTAAATACGATTTTATCATTTATATCGATCCGTCGGGCGCATTGAGTTATGCTAGGTTAGTTATGCTAGTTATGCTAGGTTACTCATCAGGCTGTCCCAAACAAATATCAGTCGAGAATAAATATAAGCGTTTTATTATATATTATAATGTATACACGATAAAAAAATTTCATTAAAATAAATAGACGATAAGATTGGTGTTAATCGCTAAAACGTTCTTCAAGCCATGTAAAACTGTATAAATTACCATTGTAGAAATAATAAAAAAAAATCTGTAATAATTGTCGACCACAATAGTAACAGATATAATATAAACAGTGAGATTATAAATACGTGGGATAAAACGCAAAAAAACTTCCATTTCTCCTTCTCAAAGAAATGGCTAAAAATGTTTATAGATTATAATATAAAATATAAAATGTGTTTAACATATTTAAATATTTTCAAATATTTTATGGTATTGTTTTAATGCTAAAATTCAATTTTTTTTTGTATATTTTTGACTAGATAAGTATTTAACTTGTAAAGGAATTTCAATGCTCTTAATAAATATTATATATAGAAAAATAAATTGTAAATTATTTAATTACTTTTATAGAATTTTAAAATAATTAAAAATAATTTATATAACTGATATCATAATTCGTATTTTTCCTTAATCTTGAACATCACATTAGATTCGAAATAGTTAGAAAATATTATTTTGTTCTTTTATAAGCCAATAAGAATAATATACAATTATGAAATTAAATTATTAAATTTTACTACTATGTACCTTTATCTTCATAAGTTTATCTTTAAACTGTAATACACACAAGATATATTCAGCAAGTACTCGTATTGCATATATAATCAGGCGCATACACAAAGGGAGGTTTAAGGGGTCAAAACCTCTTCCGAATTCAGATAAATTATTAAATATGTTTTTATAGAGTAAAAGTGGTTTATAGATTATATATGTATGAAAACGTATAACCCAAAATATTTTTTGTGTGCTCCCCTGTATATAATATCAATGATTAATACCATGTATGTAGTAACTTCTTTTAAATTAGAGAGAATATATTTTTTTAAAGTTATTTTTAATTCTTATAACAAAAAATTATTCAAAAATAATAATAAAATAATTACTGTTTTTAATATAGTTTACTGCAAACTAAACTTTAAAAGATGAAAACGTAATATGCATGTAGTAATACTAGTAAATAACCGTCAATGTAAAATATGTGAATAATTATATTAAGCATACAATGAGAAAAAAGTGTCAATTGCTATTTATTGAATCAATATTTATAATTATTTGGAATGTAAGTGAAATAATTATCAAAGCCAGCAGGATACGCATACAGTTTTATAATTAAATTTTAAACTACTGATAAAGGTATAATTTATTCAGAACCAACCTTATGAAATAATTTAAAATTAAATGTTTATTAGTTTTAATTTACAAAGAATCAATTTTTGTTATATCAAGCTCATCAAATATAACACATAATAAATAGATATATATAAATATTTTATTATTTTTTAAATATTGCAGTTTTTTGGATTTACATCAATATTTAAATTAATTTAATATTTATATTATTTGAAATAATAAATAATAATTCAATATTTTATAATAAGAATATAACTACGTTTTTTTTTTTTTTTTTATTGTATAACTAAATCACGTTTTATACATTTTAACACAAATAATAAGATCCCGGTTAGATAGATTCACTGTTTTATCAACTTTGTATGATATATACTTGATGCATATTTGATTTGAAGCTGGTCATATATTACAAATATAATAATGCTCCAGATTATGCTTTTATTTATTTACTCACTTATTTCTATATATAAACTATTTATTTATATATTTATTTATGATTTTTAAAAATGTACTAATTTTTGTTTTATCTTATAACTTTATAATCTATTAATTTAGTGGGTATGTATATTATAAAATTAAATTTCATTGCTGTTTATTTTGCAAAGTTTTCATAGAAATCGATGTTATTTCATATTTTTTGATCCTAGCAACTCAGGCGTAAGACATGCATGACAGCTCAAATACGATCATACACATCGATTCACATAAGAATTTTGCTAGGAATAACATACGAGTATTCATTTTTATATTTATGATAATATTCTGGAGATGAGTACGATTATACTAGACACTTCAAACATTTCAGAAACACCATGTAAATTAAAAACAACTTTTAAATCAATACCGTACAACATGATGTTTTAATTCATGATCGATGAACGTCAAACTTCCCTTTACTTGACTAAATATTTATTATTTGTAAATAAAAATTATCAGATGGTAGTCTTCGATGAAACAGTTTTTAATTTATACAACTAGATAAATGCGAATTGTAATATTTAAATTTTAAATGTTTTTTTTTTTTCGTAAAAAAACCAATCGGTAAATGTATTTTTATCTTTTTCCTATACAGTTTTAGCTACCCTTCAAATAACCATCCTTTCAAAGTCCAATGATTTTAGTGAATTATAAAAATATAATATTTTCCTGAGTAAATATTTGAACGACCTTTTAAAAAAATATCAAGAATACAGTTTTAAATCGGCATGATTTAAAAATATGTGAAAAAACTTTTTATAAACATATTGTTTTTAATTACATTTTATCATATGTACCAACATTATCAACATTTATTTTCATATATTGTTATCTCTTTAATTGTTTTTTTTCTATATATTTATAGAGATATAAATGTATATAAAAATAACAGTAAATCAATCCAACTATAAATGAAATTGAAAATATTGACAGTATTTGAAACTCAATATTTACTCTATAGCAAATTTAGTTTTGCAATTTCAACAAAATAAATATAATATACAATATCATAAAGTATATGTCATTAAAATGTTTATTGCATCAATTATATACTTATAAGTGTTTTTATATTATTATACGCTATATAGTATAAATCTAAGTGATATTATATATTTTTTTTTCATTTTTATGTAAATAATTGAATTATTAAAAATTTTCAATTTTTTCATTATTCTTTTTTTTATAACTTATTTACTATTTTAGACTTATAATTAAATAACTTTTATTTAGTTTTTAAATTTTAAGTTTGGCTAGTAATTATAATCAATAAAAATTGTGAAAATTTATGAAAATTCTTAATAAATAACAAATACCAATAAAATAAGGCTATATATATATACTTCTAATGGTAAAATGCAGAGCCGTATCAACCAAATATTGCGTCCGGGGTGAAAATTCAAAATATGCACTTATGTATTTTTAATTTAAAAATATTATTATTGTTCGATATTATTTTCAACGATTTCATCAATTAATATAAAGAACTTTGAAGTATTTGGAAGTAAAATATACAACATTTACCATAGTAATTTTAACGTAAAATGAAAATTTTTAATTTTTGTGCTCTTTAGGCACCTCTAGCTGTCTCACTTACTTCGGCCCTGGTAAAATGTCAGTAAAATTATGAAATTAATTCAATTCTAATATTTTTGGTAAATACTTAAGTATTTAGTTACAACGATATCACGCAATTTCAACATAAAATTTAAAACGAAGTAATATTTGAATGAATAAAATGACCGTATAAAATATTTTATGTAGTTAGGATTCAATTGATGATAATATTCGTAGCATCTTCATAGTTAGGAAACCGATAAAAATCCAAATATTGACAAATTCGCGCCATGAATAAACATAAATATGGTATATAAATTATGATAATATATACGTACCGAAACTGTGAAAAATTTGATATGGGGATATTCAAACATATTATCGAGTACGATTTGAGGACGATTGATAGAGAGAGAGGGCAAGAAAGAAAAAATTTATATTTTCGTTTATTCCAACCTTTTGTGCGTTAGTGAATATATATGTTGCAGAATAGGTAGAATAATCGGAGCTCGAAAAAAGTTGCCAGAGTTAACAAATATCGCTCGGTGGAGGTCTACATATTAATTAACTTATATGTATAAAGCTCATCTTGCGCGCTCATGATGAACACTTGTAACTCGATTTCACACACGTAACAATGGCGGATTTAACGGTCGTTTGCCAGACAAAAGTTTTCTATAATATGGCGATCCGTGCTCACGCCAGAAGCATAACAATTTCATACAAATGTTATTATTTAACGTTTAACTATGCCATTATCGTAAACGCATACTACGACGCTATTTCCCTTACCAGTAATGCGGATGATGACGCTCCTGATTGGGACGGTCACGTGTTGACGGCAGCACTCTTAAAGTCGATTGAGATCTGTTTTTTTTTCTTCCGATCGTATTTTTTATTTTTCTGTTACTCACTTTTCGTTACACGAAACACTGGCAAAAACGCCTCGCTACGACAACAAGAACGGCGGCACACGAACCAACGAGCGAACTAAAATGCATACACACCCACACACACCCACGCTTGCGCGCGCTCTCTCACTCACTCTCTCGCTAACAACAAATAATAAATGCGTTTGGTACGAAAAAATATTAAACCGTACAAAGATATTCCGTTTCGACCGCGGTTTCGGACACGGTTGTCGACTCCGAACGAGAGCAGTTGCGCGATGTGCTCCGTGAACGCGGTTGATTGTGTCGCGACAGCACGCGTTCTTCGCGGGGTAGAACGCGACCGCCGAGGATACTACTACGGCGACAACGACGACGGCGGCGGCGATGACGACGAGACGGACGCCCACGATCGACTGACAGGACACTGGAGACCACGCGCACCGCGTGAGCGCCGCAGCATCAAATTCGCCCTTTCGGTACTCGTCGTTACCCCTTCCCGAACTACTACCCCGTGCACTGTGTTCCTCAATTTCGCACGCCGCCCGACGACCACTTCCGCCGCACACCCTCTCGACCACCTCCTCTACCATCGCTAACGCTGCACTCGACGGCATCGCGTCGTAGTGGCTAAATCGAAAATCGCCGAAACCGCGCGCACCGAAACTCATGTCCGTCGCCGCAATGGTGTGTGCCCGCACGTGTGCCGCTGCCACTCGCCATATCGCTCGCGGTTACGTATTGTTAGGTTATGGAGTCGCACCAAAGTCCTCCAACGTCTTTCCAGTTCAATAGAATCTTGCGATAATTTACCTCGTTAAACTTCGTGTCGCATTATTTGGACCCGTATGATATTTCGACGCGTTTCATTATATTTATTCAATGACAACAAATAAACACATATATTACAAATATATACATATATATATTCAAGTGTCAACGAATACTCGGCGAATATCTTGTGTTTGTGGGCTGGTGTTATATCTACTACAATGCCTGAAGAATGTTCAATGTTACGGGCAGCATTTACGATAACTTTGATGAAATAAGTCATTTATAACAATAAAAGTTAATATCCAAGTAGATATATATAATAAAATGCGTCAAAATTGTCTTGCATCGATTACATATAACTTAAATAGAATCTCAAAGTAGACAAAAATTGTACTTCGAATATTTAATTATTAGAAACTAAGGAAAAATTGAAAAATAAATCCTGGAAATAATATATGAAATGCTATCAGCAAATGTTAATAATCGTTATTATAAAACGAATGACTTTGTTTTATTACTCGATATTGAAGTTTATATCTGAAAAGTACATTATATATTTTATATACAAAAGAGTATCTACATAACCTTCATTAGAAAGTATAATTATGTGTACATTATTCACTATGACCACGTACAAGCATTGCATTAATTTTATTATACAACTATTTTTCCTTTATTAATCCTGTTCCAATAAGTATAGTACTAAAACAATGTATTGATTGTTATTCTCTAAATAAACTAAGGTAATACCATACGTAAATATTATAGAAACCGGTTGTAAAAATATTAGATAATATTTATTGATATTACCTAAATGGTGTAAGTCCATAATCATAGTTGGATTCGGATGCTAAGTTAACTGTTATATTGGTAAGTGATCTTCTTATATTGTAATATATACTGTTTGATAAAAATTCTTGAATACAAATATCAGATTTTTGATCACGTAATATAAATTAAAAATAGAATTATCGGACAAAATTTCATGAAGAAAAAGGAAATTTTATAAAATATATTCTTATGTCAACTTAATATCACAAATACACAATGTTTTTCTTTTTTTATTAGTATTTGTTAGGTACATGAAATGGTTAACCTTATAGTATAGTAAATTGATATGATATAAAATAAAAAGGTGAATTTATTAATATTTAGGTAAAAATTTGTCTAAAGTGATTAATAATTGAAATAATTAAATCAAATTAGCGAAATAGAGGTCTATTATTATAATTAAGTGAAAATATTTAAAATAATCTAGCATTGAGGTTTATGATCACTATCTCTTGTATTGAAATTAATTACTAATTATTACACTTAATTATTATAAATTTTCATATAAATACACATAATTCACAATAAGACAAGCAAGTGCAGTACGTGAATTTATTTAGATTTACAGAATTAATATAATTAATATAGATTATTCTATCTCTTAAGATATATTGCATATCTCCTGAATGTAAAATCATTTTTCTAAATAATAAATATTTATTTTATTTATTAGTAAATGAAAATTGTAAAAAACTATTTTCATATTTTTTTTAAAAATTTACCAGATTTTATTTCAGTATTAAAATAATTTATGAGTGTATAAATTTAAATATGGATATTATTAAAATATATCCTACAACTAACAACAAATGTTTAATCAAAATACTTCCGCAGTTTGACTTAACTAAATTAAATAAAAGCCAAAATTATAGTATTATGAATATTAAAGTTATGATAAATCATCGAAATTTAACAAATATTTTTCGTCGGTTGCTTCTTTGTCATGAACTATATTTTAGAAAGATTCGAATAATAATGGAATACAATTTTAATTTTATCCATATCAAGAAAATCTTGGATATAAAAAAGGTTGATTTTAATAGTAAAAATGAAAAATATTTTTTAAAATTGCCCTTATACTATGAAAAAATTTTGATTTGGGATCGCTATATACTAATAAGTATCGTTTTTTTATTTAAATCGATATATAACAGTTTTTAAAATAAAAAAAAATTCCTAAATTTAAGTGTAATTTATTTCCTATTGTTATAGTAACCCAATTTAAATTTTATTTACTGGCATTTTTATTTTTGCAAAATGTTCAATTTTGACCATTATTATGTGTATTTAACCACAAATGTCTCAATTATTTGTATAAGTAATTGAAATATGTTTTTTTCTCATAATTTTAAATTTTAAATATTGTTTATGTTTCGTGTATATCAATAATACCTTGAAACATTTTAATAGAAAACGATTCGAAATATTTTTTAGAAAAATAACTAAAAATTTCAATCTACAAAATAATAAATTATTGATTTATATGAAACTACAATTATTTAAAGATTGTTTATAATAATTATATACTATATTTATGTTTTTCTATTCAACGAAATGCGTACAATTTAAAAAAACCCCTCAAGTTAATTTTATAGATTAATAGTCATACCTATAAATTACACTTATTGTGTATTGAGTATTAAAAATAATTATTATAAAACCATCAAGACAATTATTTTAAATTTAAAACCATGTAATTCAATTAAAAATATCCCCAAAAGAAATTAATGTTCATTAAAATTAAAATAACAACTTAGATATGTACTATAAATATTTTATGAACAAAAAAATGATTCATGAAATTATATTTTTCAACTTTTTCAATATATTTTATAATAAAACTGGGTCAAATTATTTAAATAAAATATTAGAACCTTTTAGCGTTTTTTTCGTCGAGTTATAATTTTTACTAAGTGCACTGTATTTATATTACATTGTTCTATGTATTAAAAAATACATAATCGTTATTGTGTTGAAAACTACTCAACTCGGTTCAAATAGTTGAAGAAATACTTTTAAGGATTTTTCTGATCAAAGACATGTATTTTACTTTAATGTATTAAAAATAAAAGTTGCATGAATACAATAATCTATACAACTGTCTTTATTGTAGTTAAAACTATATTTTATATAAATAATTGATAAAAAATAATTTTTATTATTATTTGTTAAATTGAATAAATAATTAAGTAGTAGGAATGTATTATTTTATAGTTATGCTATTGGCTATTTAGAATAACCTTCCCCCTATGATACCCCCCTTTCCAAGGGGGAGGAGTGCTCACGGGTCATTAATTTGATCGAAGCTAAGTATAATGTATCCAATACAAAAGCTTGATCATTTTTGAACAAGCTTGATTAAACGGCTAAAGCCATCAAACGGACTCAAAAGGTAACTGGTAATCTTCTATCACTAGGCAAATGGAGACAATCATTTAAAAAACAAAACATAAACATTAAAAACAGGAATATTATTACCACCTCAGAGGCTTCGGAACCCCTGTGGTCAATAGGAGTGGTTGATTTCAGCTTATAAACCTATTCCAATATAGAAGGACCACTTAAGTCGTCATCTTACGGATCATGAAGCTGCGGAGATAGTCGGCCGGGCTCTCGTTAGGTTAGTTTTTTACTGGAACGATAATGAGGTTGTGCGCCAAGCTCAAAGCAACCTCAAGAACAAAGAGAACTGAAACGCTGGAAACAAGTTACAAGAGGTACATTTATAAAAGTTGTTTTCTATTAGTATTATATAATTTTGATTTCTTTCTACTATTTATAGGTACAGGCACATCGACAAAATAAAATTTCAGGGGGAGGGAGGGTTATAAGATATAGCAATACAAAACTGTACAGCAATATAATAAAACAATTTATCCTTCCTTACTCATTATTTTTTATTGTCACAATTATTATGCTAAATATCCAAATGTTATGTATTTTATTTGTTCAGAAGTATGTATTAAGAAATAATAATAATAATAGTAAATAAAACTTTAAATAATAGCATGTGTTATGAATAGAAAAGATATTTATTTGATTATTATGCACATAAAATTACATTGGTATTTTATACTATTAAGTATATAGAAGAAAAAAATTAAACAATTTATAAGTTTATATTAAAAAATTAAAAACTAAAGTAAAAAATCCCATTTTCGTGGTAATCTAGCAAATCTATCGATAATTTCTTCCACATTTAAATCAAAATTTTGGTATATGTTTAGTAGGGCCAATCCAGTAAGTCTAATTTCTCTCATATTGTTTCGTAAATATGTTTTAAGTCTTCATAGAGTTGAGAATGACCGTTCAACAGTAACAGTTGTAATAGGTAATGTGGCCAAAATAGTTAAAAGACTGTGAATGTTTGAGAAAAAATCATAAGAAATTGCAGATAAAGTAATCAACGATGTAGTTGGATGGTCTCTCTCTGATACATTTTTCTATTTAACTAACCATATTTTAATTTCTGCGCCAAACGTTTCATAATTAGGTAAAATATTTTTATAATAAAGCGCTACCTCTTGAAAATATTTTACATCAATTGTATTTTTAAAAAAATTTAGAATAAGTGATTGTAATTTAGTCATAACATGATGATGATTAATAAATCTATCTTGTAATTGACAAATAAAATGATCGATAAAAGGTAAAAATATTGATCTTTTATAATATTGTTTCGGAGAATTGGCTGAAATATTGTTACGTGCAGTTTGCAGACCTACAGTTCTTGGTACCTCAATAATTCCTTCCAAAACATGGACTCTTTTGAATTAGAAAATATTTGTTTAAACTCATCATCGGCATTTTTCATATTTCTTTAAATATTCGACAA